GCTCTGGGCTCTCCGGCTCAGCGCCATAAATCCTGCAGACAGTCTCCTTGTTCCTTCCCGGGCAGCTTGGGATTGATTTTCATTTTTTTTTCCCCCGGATCAGACCGAGTCGCTGCATCTCCTGCACTTGGGACGCGACAGCTCTGCTCTGTGCCTGGACCCTCCATGGGTGTCCCCCGGGGCGGCTCTGGGGGGCTTGGGAAAACTCACTGGATGCTCTGTGTGGGTCACTGGGGACTGTGCCATCCATGCCACCCCCAGTGCCAGGCACATCCCTGTCCCCAAGCTCTCCCGTCCCCCCGCAGAGCCACAGACCCTTCAGGACTGTCAGTGGATCATTAATGACCAGCAACTCCAGATTGCTAATTTGGGTGTTTGACCCAGTGTTCAGTGAGTTCAGCCCTAATTCTGCAGCACCTTCCCGTGGGTGGGGGGGGTCTCATGGAGCCTGGGGGGCACTCACGTGTCCCCCACCCAAACTGCCCTGTGTTCCTGCTGCTCTTTGGTGTCTCGCTTGGGGTGCACAACAAACTGAAGCAAGGCACCCCTAAACTAAACTCCAGCTGCTGGGGTGGGGGCCAGGCAGGGATGGCAAACCCATGGCAGGGATGCTGGATCCATGGCGGCGATGCCAGGTCCGGGGATGCTCAACCTGGTGTGACCAGCAAACCTGCAGTGATGGGCAGTGCAGGAACCATCCCCTTGGCTCCCCCCATCCCACACCTCCTCACAGGGAAGGGCCTTTCGGGGGGTCAGCACCCGGCCAGGCCTTGGACCCACAGCCACATTCCTTTGTCCTGATTTTATTCGTTAGCAGCGTTTGGCCTGGACACGGAGACAGCTAATGAGGGACGGAGTTTATTGCAGTTTGATTTTTCTGTTAAAACAATACAATAAAATAAATGCACTTGGAAATCTGGTCTGTGTTTGTACATAGGAGATTTATGGCTCTGGAGGCTTCCAGAGAGGCGCAGCCTTTCATTCCCTTCCTTATTGGAACAGATCATGTTGCAGAGTTTAAAGGGCTCTGGAGTTGTGATTTATTTGAAGGGAGAAATGAGGGAAATCCAACTATCTGTTCCCTGGCTCAGATCATCTAGTAACTCCCGGCCAAGGGGACGGATCTGCACCTCCTCCATGGATTTTTTTTATTTTTTTCCCTCCTGTTGCTTACATTATCCCACTGTAAATATATCACCGAGCCAGGGCTGAGTCCTGACCTGGGCTTCAGCACCTCGCCGAGGCTTCCCCAGCCCTTCCCGGAATCCCACAAATAAATTTCCCTCCTGGAGCCCTGTCCGAGCTCCTCCGCTGACAGGACAGGACCTGCACGGGGCCGGCCCTGCCTTGATCCAGAGCAGAGACCAAGGCAGGGATCTTGGGTTTGTCTCTGGGGTCGGGTGATAACTCCATGTCACCGGTCCCTGCTTCCTCCCAGAGGAGCCCTTTCCCCTCCCTCGCCACTCTCCCGGGCAGAGGACAGCATGGCAGCTTGGATCCAGGTGAGGATTTGTGCCTGGAAGCCTTTTCCATGAATTCCCTAACCCGTCAGCCCCTGCCTTGTTTCCGTGACTCAGTAGGATGATGCTGCAGTTCCCACAGCCGAGTGGGACCAGGCTCCAGGCCGGGGCTGCTGCAGCCGCTTCCCTCCCGTTCTCGCGGAGGAAAAGTGTGTTTTTCCCTTCTCTGAGCTTTCCTGCTCCCCGGGGATGAAGCACCTGGGTGGCTGTTGTGGGGACAACCAGAGCATCACCTCGATGGCCTCGTGCTACCCTGGTGCACCCCAGCCCATCCCAGTCATCCCAGTGGCTGCCACCAGCAGGAACAAGGTGAGATCATTCCCTGAGCCCACATCAGCCTTTTTTTTGAAGCATTTGGTGTTTGCAGGCCAGAGCTCCGTGTGTTCTGGTGCAACTCCTGCTTCTCCTCGGTGCCAGGTACCTCTAGAACACTTGGAAAAGACCAGCTGGGGTCCCACCATCACTGTCCACCCCTTGCTGTGCTGTGTTGGGATGCCCATGGGAGGAGAATTCCCTTCTCTGTCGTGACCATCTCACCGTGGAACAGGGAAGGAGCGACTGAGATTTCCAGCCCAGGGGGGACCTGACTCTGATGGTTGCTCTCCTCCTCCTGTCCCAGCATCATCCCAGCTCCATCACAGCTCCTCCAGCCCATGTTTTTGGCAGGGTATTCTCTCCCCTCTGCACACAGACGGTCTCTGTTTGCCATTAGCCTCCCCCCCTCTGCCCTCGGAGCTGATCCCAGCGCTAATTCTCACGCATGTTTCGGGTAAATCTACTTTCTTTCCCGGGATGAATTGTGGTTTCCAAGCGCCATTAATCATTTCCCTTTAGAAAACAGCGTCGGGGGGCTGGAAACACATTGCTCCTTTCTTTACTGGGGGATGACCTGGCAGGCTGGCACAGGGCCACGGGGCCGGCGCCTGCGGGACGACGTGGGGTGTGGAGTGAAGCCTCGGGGTGAGCTCCCCTCTGCTGTGCCAGGAGTTGGCTCCCACCAGGGTCACCTCCCCTAAGGACAAATCCCCTGGCCCTGAGGCTGGGGGTGAGCAGGAGCCAGTGGAGCAAGAGGATGGCGATGGAGAGGAAAACCTGGCAAAATGCCACGATTTCAACCCTTTCCCAAGCGCCTCTTCCTGGAGGGGTCATTCCCTGGGAGCTTGTTTGTCCCTGCTCTCTGCCTGCCCCACGTGCCCCTTGCAGTGCCTGGGACGTGGAATCAGGACCCTCAGCTCGTCACCTGTGGAGGGTTCAGGTGGGTCCTGAGGCAGAGGAACCCCCTTGTGCCCCACTGGTGGTGGGGAAGGGGCACGGCCAGCACATGTGAGCTGTTCCCTCCTGGCCAGGTCCGGACTGTCAGGGGATGATTAATGGCCAACACCACAGAACTCCCTGGATTGCCAAGTGCTGCATTGTTAGTGCTGACACGGAACGAGCCCGGACAGACTTGAACACAATCCTGACCCGTAATCGGCAAATAACTTGGATGGACGGAATTTGTGAAGTGGTTCCCCCACACAGCCCCTCTCCCACCCCCTTCCCTTCCAGAGCTGGGGCAGAGTGGGAAGGGGCCTGGCCAAGTGCTCTGCACCCTCCAGCTCCAGCTCCTTCCAGAGATTTCCCTTCCTGGGCTCCACTGCTCCTTTGGGTTTCAGCGAGGAAGGAGAAGCTGGGATGGGGATGGAGATGGTTTGGGATGGGATAGGAAAGGGGACGGGGATGAGATGGGATGGGAAAGGAGACGAGGACAGGAGTGGTGTTGGGGATGGGATGGTGATAGGGATGGGGACGGGATAGAAATCATGAGGTCAGGAGCGGGGATGAGGATGGGATGGAAATGGAGATGGAGATGGAAGAGAGGTGGGGATGGGGCAGCACTGGTGAGGCAGAGCTTTCCACCCCACAGCTCCGGCTGTGCACGGAGGTAACCTTAAACGCCAAGGAGGAACGGTGGGGACAGAGTTTTTCCAGCCCTATTCCCAGCTGTCAGGCGGTGATTAATGGCCAACAGCCTCGGAATTGCCTTTATTGCCAGCCCGGCATTGTTACTCGTGACAGCTAATGAGGGCGGACAGACTTTACACAGCGCTTTGCGCCGGCCCCGACTGAGCGGCCCCGCGGGGTCCGGAGCCCGAGCCGGGCGGGGGGACCCTCCTCACAGCTCAGCAGGGCCCGAGCCGGGCACGTCCCACCCCCCATGTCCCATCCCAGCTCCATCCCCCGCAGGCCTGGGACTGTGGGCACCCAGAGACCCTCAAACTGTCCCGATTAACTCCGCAGAACACCCCACACCCCCAGGGATATTTTTACGGGGACGGGGCAGGGATGAAGAAGTTTCGAGTACCGGAGAGAAATGGGTGCAATAAACCATTTATTCCTACAAAAAAAGCCCGTGCTGTTAAAATCCCGGGCCCTGCGGCACAGACACAACTGAATGTTCCTGGCCCCGGGTCCAGCAGTAATGATTTTTTTTTGGTCTTTATTTTTTTTTTTTTTTTTTAGGATTATTACAAATAATATTTACCTTTGTGCTGGTTCACATCTTGATGCTGTTAAACACATGGCCGCAGCTGGTTTCCCGTTCAGGGGAGTGATATAGCTCTGGTATTATGAGGCAAAACCTCTCCTGCAAGCCAGAACACCCCACATTTAAAAATCTATTACTTTTCAATATTCCATGGATGTATTTTGCTCCAGCTCACAGCAATTTCCTAGTTTACCCTTATTAAACCGAGAGGGGCTGAGTGGAGGCTCGTGATTTATGAAACACATACTAGATTCATTAAAACCTTTAAAGATTTAATACATTTTATCAAGGCCTTAAATCTGGGCAAACGCCTTTAAAAAAACACCAGCTACGGGGTGTTTTTCATCCCCAGCGCCCCTTTCACGCTTGTTTAAGAGCCGTAAAATTCAGATTGACAAATTCCATCCCTTATCCCTAAACGGGCGCTGAACCCTCCGCTGTATAACCCAGGAGATCCACCAAGCTCCAAGATCAAATTATTCCTCCTTTATTGATGTTTTTTACACTTTTTTTTTTTTTTTTTTTTTTTTTTAATACTGGAGAACAACCCGAATGAAAAAAATTTATTTTTTTTTTTGACAGTTACACGCTTTGAACTTGAACAATTTGGGAAAAAAAATTATAGTTTGAACAGCAGTTTCTTCTTTGCTCTCCGTTGGAGTTGGATCTGGGGGTGCAGGGAGTGCGGAGTTTTGGGGGTGCGGGGGGTTTGGGGAGTGCGGAGTTTTAGGGATGCGGGGAGCGCGGAGTTTTGAGGGTGCGTAGTTTTGGGGGCGTGGGGGGTTTGGGGAGTGCGGAATTTTGGGGGTGCGAGGGGCGGTCCCGACGCGCGGGCGGGGGCGGGTCTCGAACCCGCGGCCTCCGGCTCTTGCTCCGCCGCTCCTCCATCGCCACCTGGCGGCGACACCGCCGGCGGGACGAGCTGTCGCGCGGTGATGACGTAACTGGCGCGCCGCCGGTGCCGGTGCCGGGCATGGCCCAGCTCGGCGCCATCGCCGCGCTCGCCCTCGGGGTCGCGGCCGCCGCGCTGCTCTCGGCCGTGCACAAGATCGACGAGGGGCACATCGGCGTCTACTACCGGTGAGGCGGACCCCCTCCCCGCTCCGTCCCGCGCGCCGGGAGAACCGGGCTTCTCCCGCTCACGCCTCTCTCTCTCTGCCCCCCCCTCCTGTCTCGTTCTCTCGCAGCGGCGGCGCGTTGCTGACCTCCACCAGCGGGCCCGGCTTCCACCTCATGCTGCCCTTCATCACGTCCTACAAGTCAGTGCAGGTGCTGCTGGGCCCGGGGGAGCCCCGGGGGTCGGGCGGGGCCGGGCAGTGCCCGGTACCGGGGGGAGGCGGCTCTCGGGGCGGCCCCGCTGAGCCCCGAGCGAGGGGCCGAGCGCCGCGGGTCCACCTCTGTCTTGGGAGGCTCCCCCGCGGGAGCCCCGCGGGCAGCGGGATTTGCGCCGCGAAAATCCCTCTCTTTAAGCCTCTTTTCCTTCAATCCCCCCCCTCCAGACCACGCTGCAGACGGACGAGGTGAAAAATGTCCCGTGTGGCACCAGGTGAGATGTTCAGCTCTTCCTCCATCCTGGCTGGAAACTCTGGGTCCTTCCCCTTTCCCACACTGGTTACTCCAGGGCTTTAAGATTGTTCTCAGGGGCTGAATTTCCCCCCCCACAGCCACCAAACTGGGAGCACTGGGAGGCTCTGTAAGGTCAATGAGCCCACCCAGGGCCATGTCTGTGCCACCATCCCTGAGGGCTGGGGGAGTGTTGGGGGGTGCTGGGGGGGTGTTGGGGTCCTGAGCAGGGCTGGGGTGGGTTCTGGGGGATGTTGGGGTCCTGAGCAGGGCTGGGGTGGGTTCTGGGGGGTGTCGGGGTGCTGAGCAGGCTGAGTGTCCCACACTCAGCCCACTGGAGGGGATTTCTCCCCCCTCGAAGCCACTCAGCCCCCAGTAAGTGTCATCCCCCCTTTCTCTCCCTTGCAGCGGGGGAGTGATGATTTATTTCGACAGGATCGAGGTGGTGAATTTCCTCATCCAGAGCGCGGGTGAGTCCCGAGTTCTGCACCCCCCAACACGCCCTGGGGGGGTTGTGCTGCACTGAGAGGAGGTCAGGAGGTCGTGGTTGGGTTTGGTTTGGAGCCAGGCTGTACCACAGGTGTGCCCCAGGCACCTTGAGCTCCCGGGTGTCACCCCTGGCCCGGCTCTCCTGGGAATGTCGTGTGTTGGTTATTTCTTCCTTTTATTACCTGTCTTATCCCGGCTCCCCTGAGCTTTGTGCAGCACCAGAAGTGATGGGAGTAACCCATGAGGTGTGCAGGGGGGCAGCCAAGGGGGCTGGGGGGAGCAAAGGCTCCTCTGGAGCCCAGGAGGAACGACCCATGCGGCCTTTTTCCCAAATCCTTTGATTTTTAACGTGCTGGTGGTGTGCTGGAAGTGCCTGGCTCAGTGGGAGCTGCTGGGATCTCTGTTCCATGGCACGTGCAGGACACTGTTCCCAGTGTGCAGGGGTCACACAGGGAGGGCTGGGGGTGGTTCAAACCTTTCTGTTCACAAGGGCAGGGGATGGATATTGGTGAAGGTGTCACAAAATAAACCAACGTGCTGTGTTGGGGCTGTGTGGGAGGGTGTCCCTCGTTTCACACCTGCTCTGGGACTGGGCCCCAGGGTTTTCCCTGAGGGTGCTCAGCCTCCTTCCCTTCCTTCCCCCGGGGTGTCTCTCCCAGTGTACGACATCGTGAAGAACTACACAGCTGACTATGACAAGGCTCTCATCTTCAACAAGATCCACCACGAGCTGAACCAGTTCTGCAGTGTCCACACGCTGCAGGAGGTGTACATCGAGCTGTTTGGTGAGCTGCCCCCGGCCTTTCCCGTGGGATTGCTGGTTCCAAGGGTTCTTCCACGGGCTGTTGGTGCAGAACCCCCAACTGATGAGCTTTTATCCATTAATCCTGTGTTTGCTCTGTTTGGAATCAGGGTTGTTAAGCAGCTGCCATCGTTTATCCCTGTTATCTTTTGGAGCTGAGTGCTTCAATATGTTGTAACAATAAACTCCAGCCCCAGCCCTGCCAGTAGCAGAGGGCTTTAGGGAAGGGAGTGGGAATTCTGTGGCATTCTCTGGGTGTGTAGCAGCTGTGATGGGTTGAATCAGTCACAGGATTTGCTTATCCAGATGGAAAAGCCAGTCTGTGGCTCTTTGCTGTTACAGAAAGTCTGAGCAAGCACTTCCTGGCCCGAGGGTTTGATGAGCTTTGGGTCATGCCCGTGGCTGCAGTGCCCATAAACCAGGAGCGTTGGCAGGGGCCTGCTGACCTTCCCAACGGGAAATCCAGCAGCACAGGGAGACACATGGCAGGAGAGGCTGAGGAAGAGTTGTGGTTTCTTGCTAGAACTAGTCCAGTGGCTGCCAGTGCTGAGTGTTTTGGTTTTGGCTCTGGACTGACAGGAAATCCAGCCTTTCAGCACTGGCAGTGCTGCCTGCGGGCACTGAGCTGCTGGGAACACTTTGGGAGCCCAAAGGGACGGGATTTGTGCCCGAGAGAGCACGGGGTGTTTGCAAACTCCTGTTCTCTGTTCAGACTGGGCTTTCCAAGGAGCCTGGCTTCCCACTTCCTGCACAAGCTGCAGACCTGGGGCTGGGATCCCCCCAGTTCCTGCTGGGCGGGTTCCTGGCCCGTGGAGGCTCCAGATGTCGGCAGCTGCTGACAACAACTGCTTGAAATGGGCTCAAAGCACCCGGTCTGCACAAGAGGAACTTGTACAAACTCCCCTGTAGCTCTTGGTCTGGGCTGGCTGGGTCTGGCTCGGGGCTCTGCACTGGGGCACAGCCCCTCTCGGGCGGCCTCTCATCATCCTCTGCCCCCACAGCTGCCAGCAGGTGCAGGGAACTGATAACAGCTGCTTCCAAAACGCCTGGCTGGACTTCATTAGGAGCCTGAGTTCCAGATAGGAAACTGCGACCAAAGCAAACAATCCAGGAGTGTGATGTGATCCCTTCTCAAGGCTGTTACAGATTTCTTCCCTTTGCACTTCCCAGCAGGCCCCAACTGGAAGCTCTGCCCTCCTTGGAGCTTTCATCAGAGCAGGGTTTTGGGTTGTGTTTCCTTTTGAAATCCTCAGCTCCGCTGGAGTTCTGGGACTCCTTGAGCCAAAGAGACATTACTAATGATTTTTGCAGCCTGTTAAAGTAACTGATGGAGCCATTTCCCATTCTTGCCTTTCCATTTGCCTTGTGTCATGCTGGCACAGGTGCAAGCTGAAATCAGTCAGGATTTAGCTGGACCATGTTACTTCAGGATCCAGTTGGGAAGATCAGTGGGGGAGGGGGTTAGAGCACAGATTCTTTATCATAAAGATGCCACTTCTGGCTCAGGGAGATTCCAAACTGCAGGTTATGGGAATTCGTGCCTGCACTGTTCCTGTGGTCTATCCCAAGTGTTGGTGCTGGTGTTGGAGATACTGGGAGAGCTGGGAACCTGCCTCAGGGTCAGCCCAGCACTTCTACATCCAACTTACATTTGTAGTTTCCAGCAATAAGAAACGTGAGCCATCCCAGCTCACTCTGGGTGCTGACAGCAAACTACCTTGGGGGTGTTTCGTTACCTTTTCTTTTTTCTCTCCTTTAGATCAGATTGATGAAAACCTTAAACTGGCCTTGCAGCAAGACCTAACCACGATGGCCCCTGGATTAATTATACAGGTAATCAGGATATCGAAGGTGCAGCTCCTGAGGAGGGATAAGGGCTAAAAGGAAGCAGCAAACAAACTTTTTAAAAAAGTGCTTTACAGCACAGATTTCATTTCACTCCAGTGGGAACAGTATCCTTCCCATCCCCCACACAGCTTCTGGTGTTGCTCTGGGTGCTGGTTTGCCCAGGTTACCACCTCCTGTCACGTCAGGAGATCCTCCAGCCCCGTTCCTGTGTGGGTTTGGGGCCTGGTGACAGTTTGTGCAGCTCTGTGTGGCAGAGCACACCCGCAGTGTGCGTCCCCCCCCCGTCCCCCGCAGCCCCGGGGCCGCTCGGCTTTTGGTTGCTGGCTGCTTGCCCAAGTTTTCCTCGCTCTCTCTCTGCAGGCAGTTCGAGTTACAAAGCCAAACATCCCTGAAACAATCCGGAGGAATTACGAGCTCATGTAAGTGCCTCGGAGTCTGCACCTCTGTGATCCCAAAAGGAGCCAGTCGGGCAGATCAGCAGTGCCCTCGGCCTCGTGCCACCCTCAGGGAGGGGCTGGAGAAGTGCAGTGGGGCTAGAGGGGTGCAGTGCTGAGCACTGCAGGGGCTGGCAGGTCCCTGCTGGGGGAGGAGGGGTTTCTGCAGTTGGAACCCTTGAGCACAGGAATGATTTGCCCCTGGGCTCCTTCCCCCTGGCACTGGCCCCGCGTGGTGGGTGAGGGGCAGGTGGATGGATTTCACCACTAATCCTCTTGTTTGACTGGGATGGAGAAACTGTTGATTCAACAGGCTGAAGACTTGCAAAGCTTTGAAATAACTTTCTTTAATAGCACTTGACAGTGCTGATCCCTTTTCAATGCCCTGAGCCAGCTGCCTCCTCCTGCCCTTGGTCATTCAGGCATGCCTGTGTTCCCTGAGCCCGCTGCCAACAGCATGTGTAGGGCAGAATGAGACCCCTCTCATCCATTCTGCTTCCCTAGCATTTCATGTGACCTTTTGGGACTGTGGTAAGTCCTGTGTGGTATGGTCATGGTAGGAGAGTCCCAAAATCAGCCTGTGTTCTGTTGCCATAAATACAGCAGGACGTGTTGAGAGGCTTGTTCTCAATTCCAGTGTCTGTTCCCTGACTGTGAGCAGGAGCAGGGTATTTTATTTATGATCACACTTTTCAAACTCATTAATGTGAGTAACACCAAGAAGGTAGAAAAGGATTTAACATGTAAGATGCACCCCTGGAAGGGTTCAGAACACGTGTGGATGCGGCACTTGGGGACATGGTTCAGTGGTGGACATGGTTCAGTGGTGAACATGGACACGTGCTGGAAGGAGGGGTGAGCCAGCTGGGGCTGTGGGGGGAATCCCCACACCAGTGAGCTCAGGTTTTTAACTGGTTTCTCCTGCTCACCAGGGAGAGTGAGAAGACGAAGCTGCTGATTGCGGCGCAGAAGCAGAAGGTGGTGGAGAAGGAGGCAGAGACAGAGAGGAAGAAAGCTCTCATCGGTCTGTGTGGCTGGGCTGGGAGGCTGGGACACAGGGCTGGCTGTGGGGGCAGGCAGCAAAGGGACTCCAGACTCCAGGGAGGGGTGCACCTTGTTCAATTCGGGGTCATCTCTGACCTGAAACTCTCCCAGAGAGACTCAGGACTTTGCACGTGGGTTCCAGCTTTGCCTTCTGAGGGCTGGAAATTCTTCCCAGTATTTATTTCCACCTGAAGTGGGTGATGATTGAGGACTTTCCCGGGTGAGGCTGCTTCTGACATTCAGAAGATGGTGTGATGACAGTGTGGGTGTGTTCCTGTTTTCATTTCAGAGGCAGAAAAGATTGCACAAGTTGCTGAAATAACTTATGGACAGAAAGTGATGGAAAAGGAAACAGAGAAGCGAATTTCGGAGATTGAAGGTGAGGGGGGCTGAGCTTCCCAGGCAGTAAATCCTGAAGCAGTTTGCCAAGGAGTTCTTGAAGTCTGTACTGACTGTTCTTCAGTCCAGGCTGACATTCACAGGGGTGGAGTTTCTGAGCAGAGGCAGGAATAGGAACGTTTCTCTGCAGACTGTGCATCTTGAAACTCCCTCTCTCAGGTGCTCTTTCTAGGAGGTTGTGCTCTTAGGTTAAGGAGATGTCCCCCCACCCACCTGATACAATGCTTTATCAAGGAGACTCCAGGGCATGGAAAGGGCTCTGCAATTCCAGCTCAGAGTGGCAAGGCCTTATTTTCCCTTCCATTCCTTCTAGGGAATGACAAGCTTTGCAGAAGCCACTGAGGAGCCAATGAAGAGTTTTACAGATCAGCAGCTTCTCATTAAGAAGTTCTTTGCAGAAATACAATGGGGTTTATTTCTTGTAGATGTGTGTCAGCAGGTGTCAGCCCCTCAGTTCAGGGCTGTACTGGCAGAGGATTCCTGCCTCCCTCATTCTTCCTGGTGTCTCTGACTGGGACAGACAACTCCTCTTGGCCAAAAGAGAGGAAGCTGTGAGCCAAACCATCCAGTTGTTTACATGATTTTTTAAGTGTAGCAGCTCTCCCTGCTAGAGGAGGTAAAAAAATGGTTTATCCAGCTGTGCAGCTCCCAAATCCAGACTGGCCTGTTGCATTTGTGTGGCTCCATGTCCTAGGAGGAATGTCAAGAGATGAGCAGGACTACACTAACCTTAGCCTGGATGTGGTGGCCTGGTATCCCATAATTGTCATGGGTAGGTGTGAAGCCAGAGGGGAAAAGGAGTGCAGTACAGAAAGGGGAAGTGTTCCTTTCCTTAAATGGCTCTGCCAGGAGTCAGGAATTTCGGTATCCCACGGGTTCAGAGCCTTTGAGCAGTTGTTGATACAGCAGAGGAAAGCTCTGCAGCAATCTGTCTGAGGGGCAGAGCCAGTAAAGGTTAAAATCCCCTGCTCTGCGTGCCAGAACCTTCATCTCCACATCCCAGACCAAATCCCATCTGGGAATCGCATCCACAGGCACAGACCTCATCTGCAGAGAGTCTGCTGGGCTGTTCCAGGCTGTTCCTGGAGTCCTGGGCAAAGGCTGTGGGTAAATCCCACGTCTGCAGGGGAACAGTTGCTGCGTTTCAGCACGAGAGTCAGTCCTGGCTCGAGAAGAAAGAGCGAGCTGGGCCCACGTGATGGGGATAATCAAACCCTGCTGTCTGTGAAATGCTTTGAGCTCTGCAGTTGAGATGCAATTTACTCACTTAATGCTCTCGTCCTGCAGCCATTTAGCTGGAAACTGAGCTCCCATTTTGTTCCCTCTTCCCCTCGTTGTATCCCGTGCAGTTCAGATGTGGCACTGGCCACTTTATCTTAAATCTTTCCAGCTGCAAACGGTGCTAACATGGCTGGAAATAAAAAATCTGACTCAGAGCATGTGTTTGCTTCCAGATGCTGCATTTCTTGCACGGGAGAAGGCGAGGGCTGACGCTGAGTGCTACACTGCCATGAAGGTGGCTGAGGCCAACAAGGTACTGTGGTTTCCTCTGTGGTGCCTCAGCATCAGGCTGCAGGGGAATACTCAGCACTAGAGCAGTCAGTGATTATTGTCTAAGTCAAAAAACAAAACAAAACCATCTCCTCTCAGCAAAGTTTCCACCTGACTGAAGCATTTAGATCCTTATTTGCAAGTTCATTTTCTTCTCTGGACAGATAAATATGTCGGGATGTCTGAAATCTCTGCTCTGCCAGATGCTAAGGGGGCCTGGCTCTCTCTGTGGATGGAATATCAGTTTCAGTTGTGATGAGAAATGTGGATTATTCCAGTCTCAAGCTGGCAGGCAGTTGGAGCAGGGAGATCTCTGGGGTGACAGGCAGGAGTAGAGTAAATCACAGTTCAGGGAAAGAACAAACGGAGCTGATCTCAGACACCCTGGCAGAGCCTTGGTACTGCAAAAGAAAAAAAAGCCAAAACAAAAAACCCAACCTGGAAACAGGAAAATTACATGGATACAGCTGCCAGGTGTGTTCCTGCCTACAGCAAGTTCCCAGGACGTGCCAGCAGGAAGCACTTCTGTTCTGTGAGGAGGACAGAGGCCTGGGGTGGTTTTGCACAAGTTTTGCCCCAGTTGTTCCATCCTCTGTGTTATAATGTCGTTATCCTGAAAAAAAAGTGAGCTCTGCTCACCCAAACACTCCTCCTGGAAAACAGCCAGGGATATTTTCCTTCCCAGTAGCTCACATTGCAAGGGTTGCAGTGAGGGATGTGCTCTCGGGCATCTCCATCACGTCTGGGTTGAACATTTCCCCAGCTGCTCCCATCACTTCACTTTTCAGTGTGCCATTTAGTCACTGGGATTTAGAGCTTTGCTCGGCCCTGCTGGCAGAGAACCTTCCCAGGGCACTCTGTTTGCCCTGTGGAGGGGCTGGGCACTCCTGGTAGGGCTGTGGAAAGGAGGTGCCTCGTGTGCTCCTGGCAGGAGTTTGCTTTTGCCCAAATCTGGGCTGTTGTGACCCGTTTTCTCTCCATGCAGCTCAAGTTGACTCCCGAGTACTTGCAGCTGATGAAGTACAAGGCAATTGCAGCCAACAGCAAGATCTATTTTGGCAAAGATATTCCCAATATGTTCATGGACTCTGCAGGGAGCCAGACCAAATCTGCAGAGGGACTGGCAGAAGGAATCCAAGATGAAGATGGGGCAGGAATCAGCGAGGACACAAAACTGCTTCATGGTGTCAACTGAAAGATTTCTATTCGTTTTATATCAAAAAACCCCCATGAACTGGGAAGTTCCTTTTTGTTTTCCCCCTTTCCCGTGCTGAAAGAGATGAATCAGACTTAATCCTTTCAATCTTTTGTATGACAATTAGACACAAGGACTTTGGTAATTATGGGGTGGGTTTTCGGGTAACTTCTAAGCAGCCAACTCTAGGTGTGTCCTGTAGCTGCACCTCCCCTGCTCTTGGTCACACACACCCAGGAGTCTGGAGAGGCTGGATGGGAACTTAATTTGAGATTGAAGTGGTTCGTAGCAGTTGGAGGTAAAGCAATGCTGAGGTTTTGGAGGGAGGGGAATCGCTGCTACGACTTGTTTTGTTTCGTTTTTTTTTCTTATTGGAAATTCCAAGTACTTGTTTCAACCCCCTTTCCAAACAAGGTGCTAGATCTGTACACTACACGTGGCTGCTCGAGGCCTGGGCAGTGGCAGGTTCTGCTGAGCTCACGTGCACCATGAGGGACAGAAGCTCAGCTGGAATCCTGCAGGTTCCCAGTCTTTGGGGGGGGGGATCAAAGCCTTAGACTGCACGTCACGCAGGCAGTGACCCAAAGTCCTCGTTTTCCGCATCCTAACACTGCTTTGTTTTCCACTTGTCGTGTTTTTTGTAGCAGTTGGGCTGCTGGGTGAGGGTGTGGGCACAGGGGCAGTGTCCTGGAGGGCAGAGCTGGACGTGATTTTCGGTGAAACCAGGCTGCAGGCGTGGAAATTGTCACTGTCACAGTCAGAAAAACCAGGGAGGAAGGAATTTTTGTCTCAGGGACCCTGACTTTGCAGAAAGCCTTGCAGGGGAGGAGCTGCTGGAGTGACCAGACGGTCGTTAACAGCTTATTATCTGCTCTGCAAGAGCAACTGGATCTCGGTGTTTTCAGAGTGTGACTAGAAAAAGGGCATTCGGGTGAGCTGAGATGAGCAGAACTGAGCTCCTGTGGGTTTGGGTCTGAATACACCTTGTGGAGGGAAGATTTCAAGAGTAGCCAAGGGCACAAACCGTCATCCTGAAAGGTCCCAGGGCAGAGAGAAGCAGCTCTTGTCTGAACTGCCCGAAGTTGAATTCCCCTCTTTCTCTCAGAACAGTGCTAGAATGCACCTTCCACTTCAGAGAACTGAGGAATTCCTCACATCCCAGATGCGAGGAGGGAACAGAGTTTTGTTTTCCACGTGCAAAATTCGAAGTTCAGGCCTAGAGAGAACATTTTTTTCTCTCCCTACTCCATCTGCACTTGGCAGCAGAGCCTGGTAGTTGATTGCTGATATGATTTGAGGCCAATATCCTCATCTGAGATGATGCCAGTGCTCGTCAGAGACCAGCCTGTTGCGTTCACAGGCTCGTGCCCCAAATTCCTGCTCCCCACCACCCCTGGCCTCACCCTTCAGTGTTTAAATCTGCAGCAGTCTGTGTAACAAGGCATCACACTAACAGAGTTCTGATGGATCTCAGCTGCTGGCTCCAGGGCTTTTACAGCAGTTCTCTCTTCCCTGTTGGGAGAGTGACTCTTGATACTTGAAAATGCAAAGTAGAAGCTGAGCGTTTCTGCTGGAGAAGAGTCCCATCTTCTTTGTATTTCTTGGAAAATAGGACCTAAGGGAAGTCCCATTTCCAGACCAACATCAGACCCACAGCACTCAAACAATTGCATCCCCAGGGGAGCTGCAGTATTCCTCACTCATAACTAGGTCTGTGCAGGGAGATTATAAACAGGGAATAGCAGAAATTTAGCAATGGGAAGGTAGTACCTGATCCCTTGAGGATGAGTTTGTTTGGGATTGTTCTATGTTCATGCTTGAGGTTTCCATCAGCAACTAAAACCTCCTTTTACACAAGTATTTTTCACTAATGAAAGGACCCAACTAAGCCAAAGTGGTATTATAAAGTCATTTTTTAATGTATGACTTCACAGCAAGACAATAGTTTGGGATAAAGAGCTCTTAAGGATTCTTTTAATTAAAACCATGACTGCTAAAGTATTAATGTAATTTAGTTAAATTGTGCTAAGAGTAAAAAATCAAAAGCAAAGTTGAGTGTATCAGTCTTGACAAGCCAAAATCCGTTGTTGCATCTTCATTCACTCTTTGTAAAATGTCCTGAATTTTCCAGAGTGGATCTGTCATTCCATGTAAACCTTTATTCCCTCTGTCTCCCTCTTAAAGGGGCATTTTGTCCTGTTTCCGTGATCTTGAGGTGAAGATCTGAATTTTAAACCCACTGTCTCACAAAGGAAACAGAGGTTTGTGGCACTGCTGCTACCTGGGAATGGCTACGGGGAGCATGGGAATGCTCTTTGATCTTCTTATGTACTGAATTCAAAGCCTTTTTATTTTGGTATTTGCTATGACAATAAAATGGCCTTCGATTTTACTATCTTCAGTTTTCACACCAGGGTTTGTGGAGGAGCTTTAATGTGATGTGTGGGTGTATTTGCAGGGGGAGATTTTCCAGAGGGAACATCGAGGCTGTCGGTGCTCCGGTGGGAGTGGGGAGCTGGGGGGTGCTGGGGGTCAATGCTGGTTCTCCCTCTCCAGGGAGGAGGAGGAAAGTGGAAGAAGGGGCAGAGGTGTCCGTGTCCAAGGAATCCCACGAGTGTCTGTCAGTCCCTGCTTTGCTCATGGAGCAGCAAACGCCTCGGATTCGGTAAAGTTTGCAGAAAATCCTTGTCATGTTTTACTGGACAAAGGGCAGGAACCTTCTGGGTGTTTTTGCCCAGCTGTGTAAACACCAAATCTGTGGAGGGACAGTGGAGTTCTGCACATTAAGACAAATATTTGAGTTAATGGTTTCCAGCTGGCAGGCTCCCATTCCTTCCCTCTCAACCCGAGTTACTGCGAGTAAAGCCGGGCATTGTCCCGGAGCCACAGCCACTCCAGCTGCTCTGGGGCTCTGTGGCCCTGCTCCAAGTGCTCCCCAACACTCCCCACCCCTAAACTAGGCCTGCAGGATAAGCCCTGTTGCCTGCCCTTGTTTTTTGGGCATTCCCCCCCGAAATAATTGAAATTCACTCCCTGGCGCCACAGCTCTTCATGGAGGGGGAAGAACCCAGTTTTTTGGGGTGGACACAGAGGGTGGTTGGGCAGTGGAACTCAGGGTTTGGTCATGGCTTCAAGGCTGCCAGAGCTCAGGGAGTGTTTGGACAACGCTCTGAGGGACAGGGTGGGATTGCTGGGTGTCTGTGCAGGGCCAGGGGTTGGATCCATGACCCCTGGGGGTCCCTCCCAACTCGCAGCCCCTCGCAGTGGCGTGAGGCCCAGGCAGGGACAGGTGGGGTGGGTGGCAGCGCTCGCTGCCGCCCCCACGGCGCGGGTATGGCTTGGATTTGTCACCGATTTTTGCCAAACCCGGTGAAAGGGGAGCGGGGGGAGCCCCGACCGCCCCATGCCCGGTGTCCCCCCCCGACCCGCGGGGGCCGCCATGGCGACCGCGACCTTCCCAACATGGCGCGGCGGGGCACTCCCATTGGCCGGCGTTGCGCGGTGGGACGCTCCCATTGGCCACGGTGCGGGGGCGGGGCGAAGGTGTGGCGGAAGTGGGCGCGGGGCGGGCGGGGATGTGGAGAGCGGGCATGGCCGCCGGGGACGGGCTGGGCCCGGCGCTCCGCGCCGTCACCGAGCAGCTGCAGCAGGCGGCGGCGCGGCGGCCGCAGGTGAGGGGACACCGGGGACACGGCGGGGGCCCGGGGGACACCGCGGGGGGCCGCTGCCGCGGCGGCACGGGCTCCGTCACCGCAGGGACGGGCCCGCGCATGGGACAGGTCATGGGTCGTCGCCGTGGGGACGGAGCCGGACCGCCACCGGGAGGGGTCCTGGCGTTGGGACAGGGCCCGTGTCACCGCGGGGACATTCCCCAGTGCCATGGGGACAGGGCCCTGGTCATTCCCCCAGTGCCACAGGGATAGGTGCCACCGTGAGGGCAGGGCCCGTGTCACCGTGGGGACATTCCCCCAGTGCCACAGGGACAGGTCCCACCACGGAGATGGGCACCTGAGCCCCCCAGCAAAGAAGACAGCACCCCACTATCACAACAGGCCTCCCTCCTGCTTGATCCACCCGCACACACACACAGAAGGACAAACCTCCCACCACCCCCGACCTCTCCTGAGCTGGGGGGTCGGGGCTGGGGAGGGCTGGGGAGTGCCCCGGTGTCCCCCCCTGAGCCCCGGTGGTCCCGCAGGGGCTCCCGGCCGTGCAGCCGCGGCTCGTGGCCGTCAGCAAGACGAAGCCGGCGGAGATGGTGATGGAGGCGTACAGGCACGGGCAGCGCAGCTTCGGGGAGAACTACGTGAGTTTGGGGGGACCACGGGGCTGGGAGGGGGACCACGGGGCTGGGAGGGGGACCACGGGGCTGGGAGAGGGACCACAGGGCTGGGAGAGGGACCACAGGGCTGGGAAAGGCCCTCGTGTTGAGGGCACAGAATCCCAGAATCATTGGGGTTGGAAAAGCCCTCCCAGAGCATCAAGTCCACCCTGTGCCCCATCCCCACCTTGTCCCCCAGCCCAGAGCACTGAGTGCCATGTCCAGTCCTTCCTTGGACACCTCCAGGGGTGGACACCTTCACCACCTCCCTGGGCAGCCTCTTCCAATGTTTAACAACCCTTTCTATGAAGAAATTCCTCCTGATGTCTCAGGGCAGCCCAGTTTGGGTGGCTCTGTGGGTGGGGGGCCAGGCTTGGTGACAGCATCACTCCCTGGCCTCGTGTTTTTGGGGCTCCTGTTGGTCCCAGGGACACACACCCCACAGACACTGATCTTACATGTGCCGTGGGTTTAACGGGATTCTCCTGCATTCTCCCAGGTTCAGGAGTTGCTGGAAAAGGCATCAGACTCAAGAGTAAGTACTCAGTCCCCTTCATATTTTCTTCCTTGTATAGCTGTGTCCTGAGAGCTGTTCAGCCAAAGTCCTGGTTTTTGTTAGGAATTTCACTGGATCCTTGCCTTTGCAGATAAGTGGTGGGTTATTCTTAGCTCTCTGCCCCGTTCCCCCTCCTGCCTTGCTGGCTCCAGAGGAGTCTGAGAATACGTGTGCCTTAGTCATGATTTGTCTGAACAGTGCTGTGCCTTTTGTGCTTTCTGTAGGAGAGGCACAGTCCTTGTTTAAAAGAGATGTTAACACTCAGTTTGGGGAAAATATAATTTTATGACTGTTGTAAAAGAGCTTTGCCTTCCTCATTCCCATGGACAGCATTCCCTGCAGCCACAGCCCCTTCCCTCTCCAGGCTGTGCAGCAACCTCAGCACAACCACGAGTTGAGTCAACAAATGAAGAAATTGGGTGTCTGGTGTTTGTTTGTGGGCAAACTAAGCCCGAAGTGCTGCGTGGGGGAAGAGGGAATTGTCATTCCAACCTCACTGTTCTCTCTGCTTTCAGATTCTGTCGTCTTGTCCAGACATCAAGTGGCATTTTATTGGCCACCTGCAGAAAAACAATGTCAACAAGCTGATTGGTAAATCCTGCTTGATTCTGTGTGGGCTGCAGTCTCTCAGTGTTCAGATGTGTCAGGGGAGGTTTAGGCTGGATATTGGGAAAAGGTTCTCCCCAAAGAGGGGGAACTCCCCGACACCTGCTCTAGGGACAAACACTCCTGCACCAGCAGAATTGCCTCAGCCTTTGTTTCCTCCCCAGCTGTCCCAAACCTGTTCATGTTGGAAACAGTGGATTCTGTGAAGCTGGCAGACAGAGTCAACAGCTCGTGGCAGAAAAAAGGGACATCCCAGAAGCTGAAGGTCATGGTGCAAGTTAACACGAGTGGGGAGGACAGTAAGTGGCCCTTTCTGAAGATGTGCAGCCCTTTCTGACTCCTGTTCAGAGAACCTGAGCAGGATGGGCTGGTTTGTGCTCTCAGATTGTTTCTCTGGCAGGGCTGGGCACAGGTCTCCCTGTTTTTTTCCAGGTAAGCACGGCCTTCCCCCTGGAGACACCACGGCTGCCGTGGAGCACGTGATCAACAAGTGCCCCAGCCTGGAATTTGTGGGGCTGATGACGATCGGCAGCATCGGGCACGACCTCAGCAAGGGCCCAAATCCTGACTTCCAGGTAAGATTTTCTAGGAGAAAATGTCACTGTGGGCTGGTCTCCTGTTACAGTTTGTCTGTCCCAGTGAAACCAGTCTGAGTCAGGCTATAAGTCTGTAGAAACACCATGCTCAGAGCAGTGCAGAGCCCTCAGTACCAGTGTCAGTGCAGGTGGAAGACTCCTTTCTGCAGAGCATTTCTCCCATCCCTCCTCTGCAGCTGCAGCCAGGATGTTGGCAGGGCTGCCTGTGCAGCAGTTGCTGTCCTGGAGCCTGTGGCCCAGGTGAGGTTTCCGTCAGCCTCCTCTGTGTTGTCAATAAATCCGGGAAATCTCCAGGCGTTGTTACACCACTTCAGTGGGAAATGTGGGAATTGCATTTCCTGTGTGAAGGAGACTTCAGAGACAGGCAGGAGTCGTGGTCTGTGGCACTCTGGAAGGGAGCTGGCGTGGCTGTCAGGTGTGTGAGCCTCTCCTCTTCCCCTCTCCCTGCAGATGCTGCTGTCCCTGCGGCAGGAGGTGTGTGAGAAGCTGAATCTCCCCGTGGAGAAGGTGGAGCTGAGCATGGGCATGTCCACGGACTTCCAGCACGCAGTGAGTGTGTTCCTCCTGCCGCCCTTCCCGTGGGGAGCAATTGCAATTTGCACCCCAAATTCCACCCAAACAGGCCTCTTGCATGGAGATCCCAACAGTGCTGTTCCATGAAAAACAGCTCTGCTGGTCCTGGGGTAGATTCCTGGGATCAAACCAGCCCCTGGGTGGCGAGTGTGGGGGAAACTGTCCTTCTGTGACATGGTGAGAACCAAGGCTGGTCACAGGGGTGGTGGCACCCCTGCCCTGACCTCCTCCTCTCTGTCTCTTCCAGGTAGAGGTTGGATCCACAAACGTCAGGATTGGGAGCACTATCTTTGGAGAGCGGGATTATTCCAACAAAGCCGTCGGGGGCAAGGCCCCCGCTGGAAGTAAAGGCCAAACAGAGGCTGTGGCAGTGCAGGGGCAGTAGGTGGAAAACAAAACCCCTCCAGAGGAGAGACCTCGCTGCTGGGAGACCTCACTATGCATTTTACCTCCCTCCATGTCGGCACCTGATCCTGGTGGTGAGGGGGAATTCCTCGGAGCAGAGGCCAGAAATGCCTCATAACCATCATGATTTTAGAGCACCCCTAGAAACTGGAAATCTTTATAACCAACAGATGATAAGGAAGTTGGTGGCTGAAAGTGGCTGTGGTGTCTTGGCTCCTCAGGGTCATCCAGGACAGAGACCTTGGGGTGACTGGGTTGGGCAAACAAGTGTTTGTCAGGCTGGAGCTGCTGCCCAGTGAGGTGGGTGTGACCTGCAGCAGTGCCGGTGATTGCTTTCACT